CCCCCAAGCACTGCTGTGAATCGGGATGCCAAGTAGTGGTATAGGTGTTGCTTCTATCGTTTCAAGTGACTCGAATCCGGACTCAGCGATGATGATGTGCCGTGCCTTCCATCATTACCAGTAGCTTGAATACAGCGGCCGTACCGCCCTTGCTATCATATCGCACAAGTGGCAGCAGTTCTACGTGGTGTGTCGTCTCTAACATGTTCGTGTCGTGCGCACGATAATCGTCACAAAACAAAAGGTGGCAACTGATACAAGAAAAGGCCCTTGTGTAGTGCCGGCATGTGCCCAGGGAATTCACCGGCACCATGCCAGACTGGCCTTGTTGAAAGCATTGAGAATGGCTTGGGAAATTCAATGTGTGCCCGCCGAAAACACCGGCGTTATACCGGGCACCGGTACTACTTAACCGGCACTAAACAGCCCCCCGCATTCTGCCCGTACTTCGTCATCCCTTCGCCTCCCTTGCACGCACCTCTTTGTCGACCGCAAGCTTGGCGTTCTTGATCAGCCGCCCCCACACGCTCTGCTTCCTGTCGTTTTCCCATCCATTCCAACGTGTACGATGGGGGGGGGTTCGTTACGGTTTATTGCTTTTCACGTCAACCCGGCGCCTTACTCTGACCTGACCTGCTGGAAAGAAGCCAAAAAAAGCAACGAAATAATCTCTGCGGGTTCTCGGACTCCCATGTCGAAAATTAATATGCATACTACGAGGGGGCGCCTAAACGGACATGTGGTAGTCTCCCCGTCCTTTACCCAACTATGGGACGTTCTGACGTTGTTCGCCCGTGCCTCTTCACATGACGTCAAGGCAGCGGCGGCGGCGGCGGGCACCACTAAAAAACAACACGCGTGCGCCATGCGGCAGCGGACTGGACACGGCGAAGGGGCTGGTTGCGGGGATTGAAACAAGTTTGGTGGGGTGTACTGAGCGTGCCACCACCGAAGACCATCTTACTGTGCCCCCGACGCTGGTTCATCTTTTCTCTCCGGGTAGTCCGACATCGACCCCATGAGTTGTAGTGTAGGCTTGATGACCGAGAACCCATTCGTACGGTCAGGTTGTTACATGTCCTCTGCCGAAGTTATTAACCCCCAGGTGCTTGACGAGTTGGCGCGTTCTGTATTCCCTGGCCTACAACCTTGTACGCGGGCCGTCAGTAGCCTCTATCGACCTCAAATCGAAAGGATAAGGATGCAGCCTCTTCTGAACGACACACTACTGCAAAGGGGTTCGATTTCTACCGGATGTAGGCAAAACAGCAACAAAACAGGCGATTTCGGAATCGCCCAGAGGACTGTCGCGTGCCAGACAAAGGACGGAACGATTCAAACCGTCTCTGTGTTCTATGCCTTGGTTTACCCGACTCCTTCACCAAAGAAGCGACAAAGTCATACAAACAAAAAAAAAGTACAGCAGTACAGATGGCGCCCGCACTTAAGAACCTCTAGTAGTCTCGGCCGAGGCTGGGGTTCCTATTTTGCTGATCATCCTCTTGTGGGCTACAAATGGCCGCAATATAGGTTTTAGTGTAGGGGTTCTTAACCGGGCTCACAAATGGTGCTCCAGTTCTTAGCTTCTGATATTTTTGAGTCTCAATTTCTTTAACTGCTGAAAGTTCTGAAGTGCGGGTCCCATCTGTACAGGCAAAAAGAGGTTCAAGAGCCCGGAAAAAGTGAAAAATCTTACCAGAGAGTTAGTTGCACATTTGCCCGAGCTTGTCGCTCGGCAAGCTACGCATGCGAACCACACCTCCGCTTTCCAGTAGATATGTTTCGAAAGAAAACTTTCAATGGGAACTGAAGTAAATTACAACGCTCGGTCGAGTACAAGGCGCATTCATGTGTAGTCTATGCAAACCGGTATACATCGTTAGTGTCGCATATTTTGTGGCCGCAGTTTGTGGTCCGGGCGCGTACCGCTCTATTTTTTAAACGCAAATTGTGTAAATGCGCGTCGTGCATGTTACGCTGCTGCTGTTGCATGTATCCCACACTTTCAAAAGTAGTTCAAAGCGAGGATGTGACCATACGGACGGTACCTGTATATGTAAAATTTGGTTGCTTGCAGAAAGGGGTATCGAGGCATAAACATGCATGCAGCCTTCGGCATACGGGTTTAGATTGGTCGTTCCCCGCCTGAGGCGATCTCTGCATACAATCGCGCAAATTGGTGTATTGGTGTGTACTGCTGTAGGCGGTAAGTTATCTATAGGGGCTCACCCTGTACCCATCGTGGAGAGCGAGACTCGGTTAGAATCCTTGTCGACGATCTCCAGAATCTCCTTCATCGCTCTACGTCGAACCGTCGCTCCATTGGCACGGAGCTGGGTGATGAGGCCCTCGATGTCATCCACCCCAGACATGATAATTAGAGTGAAATTCTCCGCCCGAAGAAATTTGCGCTCCAGCTAATGTCGATGCTGTGGACCCAGCCCCTCTCTCCGCACACGTGTAATCTAGGGTCTCTATCGAATGTGCATCTCGACCTCGTGTGCCGTCTGTACAGCTGTACAGAGCCTGCCTCTTTTGGCTAGCAGGCGGTGTGTCCTGCCTGGCTCGCTAGCAAGCTGAACAAACAGGAGCGGCGCAGGAGGGGTCAATTCCAAATCGGTCCGTGTATCGAAATAATAGTCTGCCCTATCCAAGCATGATTTCACGGAGCCACTTACCAAGAGTGGAGCGCCGCACCGCCAGCTGCTGGCAGGTGAGCTTCCCCCTCAGTCTCTTCTTTGCTGTGCGGGAAGGACAGGCATTCAGACGTCGATACCTGGACGGACACCAGCCTCGTTGACCCACTTCTAGCATTGAGGGGGGAGCTTGCGGCTGTGTCGTCAGGAGGAGGAGGTGAGGAGCGAACAGGGCACACTTTTTTTTTTGAATTTCACAGCCCGTTGCCCTTGCATCCATGTGCTTGCTGCGACACAGGGCGAGTTCCCTTGCCCTAGATAGGGTGGCAACCAGACCCCGTGTCCCCTTTATACTGGCCTGAATGCGGTACGTAGTGTGCGGATGACTTGGTTCGGCTGAGCGAATGAGAATGGTGCAGCTCGAGTATCCTCTACAACTTTCAGAGAGAGAGATGCCGTGAAAGTGTTCGGGTCAGTCGAACGCTCGTTTTTAGCGTCACTGCCGTGGAAGCTTCCCGTTGGACTACGGTCTTATACCGCGAGCAACGTGAAGTGAGCACCGGACTCCCATCGTCCAAGAGAACTGTTTCGCTTTCTATCACGGGCAGGAATGCGCGCGGGTTCAATTCGATCACACCAGGGCAGTCAGCTTACAGCAAGTATTTATTCTTGAAATTTGGCCTACTGCTGTATACAAGTCTGCTCGTTGGGTGGGTCCTTGGAATCTCTCGCTCTGCACGCTTGGTGATGTCACCAGGGACTTGAAACACTGCACACGCTCAGCTCGTGTCTATTGTTGAACATGGAAGACACCCGATGCATGCCATGTCTATCTCCCTCCGCTTATCCCCACGCGCTTACCATGTTTGAATTTTCGCCACCAAAGTCTAGGACCAGCCGGCCACCTTTGTGACGGGAAAGCCGGACATCCCCCCGACTTGTTGCCCCGCAGTTGGGTTCTGGGTTCCACTTCTGTATAGCAGCAGCAGCAGCAGCCGTCACACTTCGTCCTGCTTCTACCACCAGCAGGGGACCGGACGTTCGGAGCGAGTCGGAAAACCATGGAGAGCTTGTCCCTCGAGGAGAAAATCGCCTCCTTCAAGAAAAAGATCGATGAACTCGACCAATCCGCGGCCCCGCCGCCGGCCGTAGGCGAGAAGGATCAATCCGAGGCGACGTCCCTGTATGAGGCTCCCGAGCTAGGCAACGGGAAGATAGCCGCGATGAAGCAAAGGCTGGTCCGCAAGGGCTTGTCCGTCTCGGGAGGCGGGGGCGGCGGCGGTGATTGCACGGAGTCAGACGAGGACGGCGGCGGTGGCTGCGGCAGCGGGCCGACCGAAGCAGAAAAGGCCGCCAAGCTTGCCGCCGAGTTTGAAAAGGGTAAAATAGCCGCGATGAAGAATCGTCTGGTCGCCAAGGGGCTAGGTATCGATGATAACGCTTCCGAGGCGCCGGCGGCGGACCCCGCTGCTGCTGCGAGGGCGACCCATGCCGCGGCGAAGGCAACGGCTGCCGCCGCGTACGCCGCCACTTTAACGGCGTCGTCGCCGTCGCCGCCGCCGCCGCCGCCCCCCGCGGAAGCTGATGATGTCCTTGTGAAAATAGAAGGTGCTGGAGACGAGACGCCCGCAACGGAAGAATCGAAAACGCCCGACGCCTTCGACGGCGGTGCTGAAGAGGAAGAAGGTGCCCAAGAGGAAGAAGGTGCTGAAGTGGAAGAAGGCGCTGAAGAGGAAGAAGGTGCTGAAGAGGAAGGAGCGGAGGATACCTTGGCAGCTGCTGGGCCTCCATCTGCTCTTGCCACCGCCAACGGCGAAGCTACTGTGGTGGCCGAAATGGTCGGGGTTGCAGGCGTTCCAGACTCAGCGGAGCCAACTGAAGAACCAGGTCCTGAGCCCGTTGTCGTCGCCGACGACCATGAAAAGGCCGGCGTCGTCGTGCCGTTCTCGGTGGTGGGCGTCGCGCCCGAGGCCGGTGCCGCCGCTGCAGAGGACGAGCCTGCCCCTGTGCCTATTGCCGTCGTGACCGCTCCAGGAGACGAGCCTGCCCCCGTCGTCGTCGCGCCATTCTCGGTGGTGGGCGTCGCGCCCGAGGCCGGTGCCACCGCTGTCGAAGACGAGCCTTCCCCCGTCCCTGTTGCTGCCGTGACAGCTCCGGGAGACGAGCCTACCCTCGTGCCTATTGCCGACGTGACCGCCCCGGGAGAAGAAGATAAAGGCCGTGACGCCGCCGCTGCAGACGAGGACGAGGAGGCCTCCTCGCCGACAGTAACACCAAGCGAGGGAGGAGACAAGAAGGAGGCGAACAGCCCGCCCACCCCCCCCTCCTTCCCAACCGCCATCTCTCAGGCTTCAGACTCACAGCAGCACCAGGAGGTGTTGCCCCCTCGTCCTCCTCCGCCAGCAGCACGAGCACCAGCACCAGCAGCGGCAACACCCGCGGATGAGGGGAAAGTGACGGCGTGCACCACCGCGTCGGGCCCCTCCCCCAAGATCGAAGGCTTCAACGTGGCGGCGAGCAAGGCGAAGGCTGCTGTGGCCGCGGCAAAGTCGCGCTCGCGAAGCAGCAGCTGCAGCAGCCAGCAAGCCTCTGCTCCCGCCGCCGCCGTTGCCTCGCCCGCCGGAGATTCGCTGAAGCAGCGGCAACGGCAGCGGCAGCGGCAGCCCGGCAAGCGCGCGTCAACCCCCGGCCGGCAAAAGCGTGCCAGCTCTGTGGGCAGGAGCGCCTCCCCCGTTGGCAAGCCGTCGCCGTCCTTGCCCGCCCGACCGCGCCGGCAACCAGCGGCGTCGCAGCAGCAGCCACGCAGCGTCACGTCTACCCCGGTGAGGGTGTCGCCCGCTGCCGTTGAAGTTTCCCGGGCGAATCCCACCGTCGCCGTTACCCCGGGGCTCCACGCCGCTACCCCGCCGCCGCCGCCGCCGCCGCCACCGCCTGCGCCTGCGCCGGCCGTGGTGGAAACCTCGCCGGGGCCCCGTCGCCCGACGTCGTCTCCTGCCAGGCGAGGACGGGGGGCGTCTCCGGCGAGATTGGCCACCCCGGCCCGCGCCGCGGTGGCGCTGACGCCGGCCCTGGCGGAGGCATCGGGGAACCGGCTCCACGAGCAGGCCCGCGAGGCCCGCGAACGGCTGGAGCGCAGGAGGACGGTGGGAGGAGGAGCGGGAGCAGCCTCGCCCCCGTTCGTCATGTCGTCGCCGCTGCTCTTCACTCCGACGCGCGGGGTCGCCTTGACGCTGAGCCCGGCGTTGGCAGAGGCCTCGGGGAACCGGCTCCACGAGCAGGCCCGCGAGGCCCGGGAGAGGCTGGAGCGCCGCAGGAAGGAGGTGCCGGTGGTGACGCCGCTGGCCCCAATGCCGGGTCTCACGTCCTTCTCGCCTCGCCGGTGGTCGGCCCCGCGGGGGCCAGCCGGCGGTGCCGGCGCCGCCCCGGTTGTCTCCGGGCCAGACCGGCTTGAAGGCCTGTACCGCGACGCCATCGAGCGCAACTCGAGGCTCGAGCTGGCCCGGCGCGCGGAGGAAGAGAGGCCCCGAGAGTGCACGTTCACGCCCGAGATCAGCAAGAGGGGGCGCAGCCTGGTTAGGGGCTACAGCAGCGACGGCGGCGGCGGTGAGGCGGGCGAAGGCGGAGACGGGGGTAAAGGCGGCGACGGCGGTGGCGGCGGCGACGGGAGCTTGTTCGACACGTTCGACGCGCTGTACCAGGACGCGAAGCGCAGGCAGGCGAAGATGGAAGCGCTGAAAGGGGCTCACGAGGAGGTGGGCAGGCGGACCTCGCCGGTGATCACCGCCATGGGCCGGCAGGCCACGGGCGTGCCGATCGACGTGCGGATGAAGGAGGACGCGGAGCGCTGGGTGCGGAGGTTTCAGGAGCTGGAGGAGAAGAAGGCCGAAAAGGAGAAGGAAGGGTGCACGTTCATGCCTAACTTTTCCATCGGGCGCAGCTCCTCCGCCCCGCGCATGCGGCCGCGACGCAGCAACGGCGGTGCCGGTGCCGGTGCCGGCGGCGGCGGCGGCGGCGGCGGAATCGAGGCGTTCGTAGCAAGGTCAGCCATCTTCCTAGAGGCGAGAGAGCGGAACATGAAGAAGCTCAAGGAGGAGGCCGAGGAGAGGGAACGGGCCCTTGCGACGTTCAAGCCCAGCATCCTCCCCTGGGGGGGCAGGTCGGCGGCGGACGACGCCTCCGCCGCCGCCGACGTGTTCGAGCGTCTCCTTCGTGCCGCGGAGAACCAGGAGATGAACAAGGCGGCTCTGAAGGAAGAGTTCCTGAAGAAGGAGCGCGAGCAGTATAACGACTTCGAGGTAGGTATCTCCGACGTTCCGCTGTCTTGTGCATTTCCCTGGGTCGATTCATCCAGAGTATTCCCAAGCGAATACCGCGCTGTGGTGTGAGGTGTGTGAGGTCGGGGAGCGTACTCTTATGTTTTGCATGCCTCAGGGGTTGAACCATTGACCATGCGCCCTCGAGAGGACGGAGCATTGTGCCCACAGGGCCGATCACCGATGGCCAATCGTTCCTTCCTGGTGGGGGGGGGTGTACTCATGGTCGGGCATGCCGTAGTCGTTAGACCATATACCTCGCATCCCTACAAAGCCGGGACCGAGCACGCCGGGTTCTCACCGGACCAGGCTCTCACATCACCAAGCGCGAAGCGCCGTGAGATATTCGGCGAGTCGCACGAAGAGCGCGCTGCATCCTGCTAAGGGTTTTTCGGCATCTTGTGCTCACTTCCTTGCGTACGGATGACAGCTGCGTATGACTTACTTTATTTTCTGGTGCTTTCACTTCCAGAGACAGTCATAAGCACTGTGTAACTGCCTCGAGGGTGCGTGACCATTTTAACACAACGTGGTGCGATCATCCCCCTTGCGCGGAGTGAGGGTTCTCGACCCCGCACAACATGATCCACTCGACCACCATTATCGTTACCGCCAAAAAAAAACGGAGGTAAAAAAAAATACCGGCAACCTGGTTGCCGAGTTCACGAAGTAAATTGGCTTGTTTTACAACGTCGTTGCCAAGCGACGAAAATCCAACCCCGATGGCAAACACCGGGAGTTTCTCCTGGTGGGGGGGTTTTGCTTCGTGATTGCTCCTCCAGGTTCTGTTAAATCACCCCGTTCCTGTGCTTGAGTTCGGTGAAGATCGGTACCACGATTTGTCGCTGCGGCGTTTTTTTTTTTCCTCAGCAAGCAGAACCAGCGCTCGTTTTTGCGCCAGTTCAGCTTGTCGGACAGCATCCACACTCTTGTCACTTGGTGTTTCATTTTTGGTTGAAGTGCGTTCACCAAGCAAAAAGTAAGAAACTAATCATCGTTCCTAGAGGCCACTGGATGCTTGCACGCCATCGCCTCCAATCTACGTTGCAAATCTGGCTCTGCATCAGTCTGAGGAGCTAAAGCGCTCGCCTTTCCTCGACGGCCCCAATACCACCACTCGCTTTTCTCCGCCTCCGGCAGCCCCGCCTTCCCACGCGACAGAAGGACGCCCCCATGGAGCCCCTGGACGCTCGCATCAGGAGGAGCACAGAGGAGTGGGTGAAGAACAAGGCGCTGCGAGAGCAGCGGCGACTCGAGCTTGAAGCCGAGCATTGCACCTTCCGGCCGTCTCTAGGCGGCGGCGGCATCGGCGCCGCCGGCATCGGCGCCGCCGGCACCGGCACCGGCGACGGCACCGGCGGCGGCGGCGGGGGCGGTGGGAGACGCAGTTCGTCGGTAGGCCCCAGGCCTCGCGCTCGGTCCTCGACGCGGCAGCGAGCATCCCGCAGGGCTTCCGGCGGCGTGGGGCCGGCCGCGGCGGCCGCCTTTGCCGCCCGCGAGGCGGCCTTCCAGGACGCGAAGAAGCAGCGGTTGGAGGCTTTGCGGAAGGAGAAGGAACAGCTCGAGCTCCAAGAGGCCACGTTCCAGCCGGTCATCGGCGCAGAGGCCCGTCGGGCTGGCGACCGCGGCGGCGACCCGGTGGGCGGAAGCTCGAGGGGTACCGATGCGGTGGCGGGAAGCGTCACCGGCGCCTCGGAGACGAAGGTTACCACCCCGGTTACCGTCGAGAGACGGAGCTCTGTCGAGTTCAAGGTGTGTCTGCCGCTACTGCTGCTGCTGCTGCTGCTGCTGCGTGTGTTCGCATGTGCCACAGCAGTAGTAGTACCAGCAGAGTTGTCTTTTTGTCGGCGGCAGGTTTTGAACGTTTCATTATGCGATGGCGTCGACTCTAGGGTCGACTAGGGTGGAGAGAGACGGTCGTGCCGCATGTGTGTTCCCTGTCCACTGGCGCGGAGTTCGGTGGGTTGTCACGTCCCTTGGAAACAGGACCACCTACCTGTCGTCAAAGTGTGCTGGCAGTTCGATGTGCCAGCAGTCGACAATCTCACACTACCGGCCGCCACGGCCTTCCTTCTTGTTCCCCCCGTTCTATGATGGAAAAAAAAAACTGACCCACCTTTGGCAAAGTCGTGGTAGGAAGGAACTTTTGGCCTTCGGTGATCGATCCTGTGGGAACAGTGCTTCGTCCTGTCGAGTACACGTGGTCAATGGTCTAACGACTGCGGCATGCGTTTTACACGAGTACTCCCGTCCCCGTCCCCGTCCTTCCACCGTTGATCCGTCGATCGCAGCCGCAAGGCTCGGCGCGGGCGAGGTCGCGAGAGAGCAGCGACATCGCGGCAACTGACGGGCAGCAGCAACGGCAACGGCAGCAGCAGGAGATGGCGCAGGGCGTAACGGCGGCCGTGACATCGCCGCCGCGGCAGAAGGGGGCGGAAGATGATGGAGTAGACATGATAGCCACGGCGGCGGTAGCGGATGCATCGGCAGGACGAGGAGGCGGCGCTGTCGACGACCACCTGGACAAATCACGGGTGGACCAAGGTGAGGGGTCTGTTCCTGCTTTGATTTCGCATACGTTCCCTGTGGTGTATTCTGTACCATGCGAATTCTTGGAATCAGGAGTAGATGTGGTGTCCGTTTTTGTCTCGTGCCCCAGCCACTGCATTCCCCGGTGGTACGGGCCCTTTCTTCGTGCATGCCGTTCTCCGTGTTGCCGACAGGCGGCGTAAAGTGAACATTGGCGCTCGTCATATATTTTTTGCCGACGTGCTTCCCCCCTCCCCCCCACTTCGCGGGGTGCCTCTCTGTCGCTCTCTCTCTCTTTCCCCCTCTCTGCCTTTCCGTTCCAGCAGGCGTTGATGTGGGCGAGCTATCCTTCCGTCTGCAGCAACTCGCGACAGCCTCATCTCTCAACGACGGCGGCAACGACGAAGCTGACGCCGCCCCCGTTTCCAATGTTGCGCTGCAGCTCGAGGAGGAGGAGGAGGAGGAGGAGGAGGAAGGAGAGGCCAACGAGGCGGGAGTAACGGAGACGGGCGAGGGACCTGCCGAAGCGGACGCGGAACCCGAATCAGAACCCGATGAGCTCGACCTAGGAACGGAAGAGGAGGAGCCCTGCGGAGCGCCCACGGAAGCCGTGCCCAAGGCCGAAGGCGGCGGCGTCGTCGTGATGCCGGTCAACTCCGAGGGGGCGGGTGAGGAAGCAGCTGAGGAGAAGAAGGGCAGCGTCGAATCTGCTGGTGAGAGAGCGGGAGCAAGACTGGTTGTTTGGTTGTGGCACTGGTGTGTGTAGGTATAGCACGAGTAGCTGCTTCGTGTTTTCCGTGTTGCTGCTGAGGTGTTGCCCGTTTGTGCCGTTTTTTTGGTGCGGTATGTCGCCAGGGGGCGCCGCAGGCTTTGGGCGCAAGATGGGGGAGCAGGATAGGCAGCGCGTTTCAGCTATGGGGGAAGTTTATCTTCGCATATTGAACTATTTGTTGTACCCCCCACCTCCCCCCTCTCTCTCTCGGCGAGGTCAATGGTGTAACGACTACGGCATGCACGACTATGAGTACACCCCCCCCTCCCCCCCCGTCAACGTTAAGAAGAGTGCCGTCATGGTATGCAACGAGAACAAGGAGGAACCAATAGAACATAGATGGAAGTGGGGGATCGAGGAGATTGCAGTAGTGGACCAGTACACATACCTCGGTAGAGATCGCAAAAGACTGCTCGTGGAATGCACACATGTCCAAGGTAGCGGAAAAGGGCAAAGCACGAGCAGGGAAGCTCCACCCAATACTCGCAAACCGGCACCTCGATACACGCATCACATTGACGGTTTTGAAGAGCGTAATCGTACCGCCGCTAGAGTACGCCGGAGAAG